TGCCAATGGATCAATATTACCTCAAAGACTGTACTTCCATTCTTACTGATATATAGTAATAGTTCTATAAACTATATGTAGCTACTATATATAGTATAGTTCTATCCCACCTTAAGCTCATCTCACCTTGTGGCTTTACTGAATAAAACACCTCTTAGAAGTGGTGTTGGTGGGCAACCCACGTCCTAGGCTCCATTCTGTCTGTCTCAGATAGAAGCTCTTTTCTCTCAAAAAATTCTTCCTACTCTTGAAAAAATAGTAAGTCATTATAAGATAATTCAGCAATGAGGGCCAAATCATGGTGCATTGGATTAGTGGTCTTTTAAGAGAGGTTTATGGTAACACGGATGCACTGAGGAACACTGTGTAAAGTGAAGTGAACAATAAAACGAAACACTGCATGCTCTCCCTTGTGGAAAGTAAAAAGTTGATCCCATAGAAAAGAGAGTAAAATAATGATCACTAGAGGTTAGGAAAAATAGGAGGAAAGATGGATATAGAGTAGTAGGATAAGAGACACCAAAATACAGTTAGAGGGATTAGTTCTAATGTTCTATAGCACAGTAGTCTATAATAATTATATTCTACAACAATTCATTATACATTTCATAATAGAAGAGTTCAAAGGTCTCCAACATAAAAATGATAAGCATTTGGGAGTATGGAAATGCTATTTACTCTGATTTCATCACTCATCATATACATATAATGCAATACATATAGTATGTGTCACATGAAATATTTTTAAACACACACACACACACGTTGAGGCGTGTTCTCTGGTCCCTTTTTCTGCTTTTCCACTTTTGGTTTCTACCAGCTGAGGACATAGCAGTAAGGTACCATGTTGGATTCAAAAAGCAAGCCCTAAACTGATACCAAAATTGGCTATGCTATGGCCTTGAAGTTCTCAGCCTCCAGGACTCTGAGAAATAAATTTCTATTATTTGTATGTTAAAGAGTATTTTGTTGTAGCTGCAGGAATGGACCGAATTAGCAGAGTCTTCAAAGTTTTCCACATATTTGATCATGTCATTAGCAAACAATTTTACTTCTTTCAAATTTGATCAGCTTTTTCTTTTTTGCCTAATTGCTACTGAGTAGCACTTCAGGTAGTATATTCAACAGAAGTGTCATGAGTTGGCACCTTTGCCTTGTTTCTGATCTTAGAGAAAAAATGTTTACACTTTTTACTATGGTGTATGGTACTAGCTGTGGGCTTATAACATATAGCATTTATCATATCCCATTACATTTTTTCTACACCTAATTTAATAAATTTTTATTAAGTATGATTGTTGAATTTTATTAAATATCTTTTCTCAGACAGTCTTATATGAATTATGTTTTTATTGTGTCAAAGCATTTTACACTTACTGGTTTATATTTGTCAAACAACTCTTGCATCCCATATATGAATTTTACTCATTCATGATGTATAATCCTTTTCATGAGCTGTTTATGTGTGTTTACTAGTATTTTGTTGAGAAATTTTGCATTTATGTTCATAAGGTATGCTTGTCTATAATTGTATATTTTTGTAGCATGTTTGACTTTGGTATAGGGATAAATGATAGCCTGATAAAATGAATCTAAAGGTATTCCTTCCTCTTTATTTTTTTTCTGAAACATTTGAAAATGAAATGATGTTAATTGATACATATTTGATAGAATTCACAGATAAAACCACCAGTTACTTCTCTTTGATAGGAGGTTTTTTTTTTCTTTTTTTTCTCTTTTTTTTCTTTTTAAATGTGTTTGGTACATAGCTTCATTACATAGCTCAAACTCATAATGATCCTCCTGTTTTCAGGCTCCCCAACCCTGGGATTACAGGCGCACACCACCACACCCAGACTTAGTCCCTGGCTCAGTGCACCTGAGGTTGGGGTTGGCATGGCATGTGATGCCAGGAATCAAATGGTGGTCCCTGCATTTGCCTAAGCAGACACTTAATCTGCTGCACTGTCTTGCTGGCCCTGGTTTTTAGCTTTATACCATTTGTTATGAATTTGCTCTTCTTAGTCTAAAACTTGTTTTGTAACCTAACGCATTATCAGTCCTGGAGAATAGTCCATGTGTGCTTGAAAAGTATATGTATTCCCCCTGCTGTTGAGTAAGGTTATGGCCTGTGTCTAGATAACCCCAAAGCCTCATGCAATCATAGGTGGGGCTTTTCAGAGGTGCCTGAAAGTAGAGTGTGTGACTGACTCATGGTGCAATGCTAGGATTAAAGGTACTAGGATTAAAGGTGGGTGATTACTAAATCAGCCCACTGATTGGTTTGGCACTGCCCTAATCTCCGTGGCCTGGATAAAATATAAAGGACAGAAAGAGGCCTGCTTCGTTTCCCTTGCTTACTGTGCTATCCTCTGCCCACCATGAACTGTTTCTCCTTTGAAACGCTTGTCTGTCATGCCACCCTGTGCTGGAGGCAGCCAACGATGGCCTGCAACCTCTACAAACTATGCGCCAAATAAACTTTTCCCCCTTTAACTTTGGATTTGGGGTGTTTTGTTTTAGCAACAAGAGAAAAGTAACTAAGACAAATAGAATATTGTGCACTTGTCTGTTAGGTCTGTTTATGTATGATGTAGCAAAGATCTGGATTTTATGTCTGGAAGACACATCTATAGTTGGAAGTGGGATATGGAAGTGCCCTATTGCTATTGTGTTTTATGCTATTTCTTCCTTCAGTTAATATTTACCTTATAGATTTAGGTGTGCATATATTTATGGTTTTTCTATCTTCTTAATTAACCAACCCCATCATCATCATCACATAATAACCTTCTCTGTCCCTTGTTATAGTTTTTACTTAGTCTATTTTCTTTGATATAAGTGTAGCTGCTATTATTTTTTGGTTATCATGTTCATGAAATATACATCTATCTCATCACTTTTCGCCTATGTACATCCCTAAAGCTACAATGAATCAGTGTGAGAACATACAGTTAATTGTAGGATTTTAAAATAATATGGTAATATGGTACATGTTATGAATAGTGAATTTAATTTGTTTATATTTAAAATATTAATAGGTAAAGATTTATCACTACTGTTTTTATTAATTGTTTCTAGACTATTGTTTCTTCCTTTTATTGTCTTCTTCTGTTATTTGATAATTTTCTTAGGCCTATGCTTTAATTTCTTTATCTTTTATACACCTACTGCAGGTTTTCTTTGTGGTTATGATGAGGCTTACAGAACACATCGAATAGTCAATGAAAGTCTGTTTTGAACTGATAAGAATAACTTCTACTGGACACAAGAGCTATACTTTTAAAAGTAGCCCACAACTATATGAAAAAGTGCTCAAAATCACTAAGCACTGTGGAAATATAAATTAAACCTATAGATAATACCTCATACCTATTATGATAGCTGTCATCAGTGAGCAATAGATAAGTGTTGATGAGAATGTGGAAAAGACAAATCTCTTGTTTTCTGTGGACAAGAATGCAAATTGGTAGAGAGGTCTTGGAAAATGTTGTGAAGATTTCTCAAAAACCTGAAAATAGAGGGCCATGGAGATAGTTTAGTAGCCTAAGTGCCTGCCTAGGCAAGACCTGGATTTGATCCTCAGTACCACATGCCATGCTGGCTCTGCCCTAGGCACACTGAGCTGGCCACCAAGACTGGGCATGGTGGCACACCCCTGTAATCCCAGCACTGGGGAGGCTGAAACAGGAGGCTTACTATAAGTCCAAGTGGCATAGTGAGACTCTGTACCAAATACATTAAAAAAAAAAACTGAAAATAGAACTAAACTTATGAGCTAACATTCCAACCACATGGAATAGTCAAAGGAAATGAAATCAGTCTTTCAAAGGGATGTCTTCATTCCCATGTTCACTGTCGCATTTTGCAGAATTATTAATATATTGAATAATGTAATCTCAGAAAGAAAGCAAAAGCGAGAGTGAGAGAGAGAGAGAGACAGAGACAGAGAGACAGAGAGACAGAGAGAGACAGAGACAGAATCTGAAATATTGAGACTTCTAGAAGCAGAGAATAAAAGGTAGCTGCTAGGGTTTTGGAAGTGGAGGCAGTTGGAAAATGGTGGCTAAATAATACAAAATTTCATTGATAATATTGTCTTAGTTGCTTTTCTCTTGTTTCTGAGACAAAATACCTGCACCCAAAGTTAAAGAAAGAAAGGTTCATTTAGCTCATAGTTTGTGGAGGTTTCAGTCCATAACCAGCCCTTGGGGTTGGCTTGGTGCCAGTGTGGATCTGAAACTTGAAGACTGGGGCAGTAGGGGCTGGCTTTGGGCTGTGGCCAGCTTGACACCAGGGAGCCTGCCTGGGGCTAGTGTGGATGTGGAGCCTGAGTCCGCAGCTGTCTGCCTGGCAGTGGATTCACTGGGGTGGCCCGTGCATGAGCTGGAGAGTGAGGCAAAGCACTCTTCTTCCTCCATGCAGAGGGTGTTTCTACCCACTTTCTGTAGGCTGATGAGAGGGGATAACATAGGTGATGTGAAACTGGCCTTCCTATCTTCTGTCACGTGTCTTTTATTATTTCTGTGCCCTATACAAGTGCTATAAACTCTCACCCTAGTGTATTTGAAACTGTTTTCACATTGAACACTTGTCAAATTGCTATCTGTGCTGCTCAAATTGATATTTCTGTGAAAGGATGAGCCCTAGAAACGCCTATTCTACCAGCTTGCTGCTAACACTCTGCATTATATTCTTCCCAGATTTTCTGGCTGATGCAGCATGTCCACTCTGGGAAATTAGGGAGACCAATGATTAGGGCTCAGAAGGGCCAAATCTATACGTAAAGACAGTCCCACCTTGTGATGATTTGACTCACTTTTTTTTTTTTTTTACTTTATTATGGTATGAAGGCAATCAGCAATCAGTAGGAACCACATATCAAATTTTTAATTTTGATCTTTTTCTGGGCTAACACTACATGATATGACAGCCTGTTCTGCAGGGTGTGTGCCAGGCACCTACCATGGTATTCTAGTGTGCCATGTCTCTAAACCAGAATGCTCAGCAGGCTAACTATATTAAATGCATTTTCACTTATGCTTCCAACTTACAATGAGTTAGCAGGTAACCCCTTGAAAAATCAAGGAACATCTGTACTCAGAATCAAGAATGATTAAGTTGGGGATATACAATTTGAGTAAACTCATGTGAGTCCCTTTACTAACAGGGGCTTCAAGGGCACTGCAGCATAGATTGGTGTGATCATTCTCAGGAATAGTTTAACTTGTCTTCAGAAGTTTTGGGATGTATCAGCACTATCTAGAGGAAAGAGCAGAAATACTGTGAGATACTGCTGCCCTCCTTTATTACTTTTGAGTTTCATCTATGCATGCTTTAGTATCTGGTGGTACTGATACTCTGTCTATATTCTGGTATTCTTGCCACTTGTACTTGGTTCTCTGATTGCCAGCCAAACTCAGTGGGAGCTCTCAGCCCAAGATGTTGCTGTGCTCTGGCACTGATTAGCACGTGCCTGAGCCTACTGGATGGCATAAGACAGTGCAGCAATGAATGCTGATCTCATCTGCTCTGGGTTCTGCAGGAACTGTCTGTAATCAGCAGCACCAAGTAAGTACAGAGGCAATGCTCCTACCCTTAATTCAAAAGGCTGAGGGTCTGATTCAGGCTATATCGGGGCACTCTTTCAAGTTATCCCAGTGATTCCTTAGATTTTTCTTGGCCTTGTTAAGCTCCTAGGTTTTCCCAATAGTGTCTGTACATCAGCTTCACTAAATGAAAGGCAATCAGAGAACATCTTAACGCATTCACCATGAGTGTGAGGGCACCGCTGCCCACGCTTGCCTTTGTGTTTGGTGTTTTCGGCTGTCTGCGATGTACTGCCCAAACCATAGGACTCTAGCTTTCATTTTTTTCATAGGGTCTACTGGGGCAGTGAATCATTTAAAAGGGGCCAAGAAGGTGGTGGAATTTTCAGACTTTTTAACCCGAATCTGAAGAGCTGTTCCGATCACTGGGCTCCCAGAGTACCAGGGGGCTGAAAGTTGGCCTAGGGAGCTTCGGTTGCTTGGCTGCAGTGTCTGGGCACTCGGCTGGCAATAGGTAAGACTCAGAGGATGGAAGTGATGCAGAGTGGTTTCCCTGAGCATAGGCCACACCTTCACCTGAATGTGGAGCAGGCATCCCAGCCCCGTGGAGCTCTCTGCCCCTTTCTCATTCCACACCCGCACATTTCTCTTTTATTTCTGTCCATTACCTCTTGTCCACAGCTATTCCACAGGACGTTCCATAGCAACCTCCCATTTATCTTTTGATGTCTAACATCTTAATTTGCACTGCCACTATTATCCAGAATACTATCATTGCTTGTTTGGATTACAGCAGCCTCATAATTATCTTCCATAAATTCTTCATTTGCTCCTACACTTCCTCTAATAGCTTCACAGAAAAAGTAGAAGAAATACCGTCTGTACCACGGTTTGCTAAAGCACTTTATAGTCTGGCCACTACCTGTCTTTTTGCCATTATCTCCTACAATACTGATCTCCTTGTTCCAGGTTCACACATATTATGTCTCCTCTTCTCTTTATCAGGAGAACTCATTCCTATTACCTTCACAAAGCTGTTGTGTTGGCTTCCAGTGGCAGTTCCGATATCTTTACCCTAGAGCTGTACCTTGTCTATCCTAGCTGCAGTACCTTAGCTCTCGTTATTGTTTGTTTTTTTCTTAATACACATTATCAGAATTTTTCTATTTATATGTTTACGTGTTTATTGTTCATCTTTATGAATTATAAATTTAATCTATAATGCAGTATGTAGATGTACCTGGAGATGAAGCCTTAGAGAAGACAATTAGGATTGGATAAGGTCATGAGGCAGGGCCCTCATGATGGTGTTAGTGACTCTATCAGGAGAGGAGACACAGCGTTGCTCTGTCCTGCTATGTGGTACCCTGCACCATGATTCCATGCAGCAGGAAGACCCTCACTGGACACCAGTGCTATAGTCTTACCCTTCTTAGCCTCAAGAACCATGAGCTAACCAAACCACTATTCTTTATAAATTTCACAATCTGTGGTATTTAGTTATTAAAACAGAAAATGGGCTGAGACAGGAGCCACGCCACACCCGTTCCTCTGGGAGAGAGAAGAGAACACAGGAAAAGAGCTGAAAATGCAAAGCATAGAATCTTTAGAGGCCTTGCTCAATCTGAGAAGGAGAGCAAGAACTGGGCAGAACATGGGCAACTGCACAACTGAACTGAGACTCAGAAGAGGAATGTGGAGAAGAGATGGAAGACACGATAGACAAATAATAGAAGATAAATCCTCAGTAGTGGTTTGTAGGGGGGCAACCAACTGAAGTCACCCTAAAAGGACTGCCAGGTCTAATCCACCCTGGCAGCTGTTCTGAGAGCTCATCACCAGTACCATATGCCTTGACTATGCAGATAGCTTCACTTCACTGGCCTTTTGTCCTCCTCTGGCCTCCCACCTTTCCATTAACAAATGAAAAAGTCACCCAGCCTTTCAGCTAGAACCACCACCTTCTAGTAATTTGCCAAAATGAAGAATACAAAGGGAAAGAGCAGGAGAACCTGGTGTATGTTCTCTAGGCCTTTTATTGGAGTTGTTCCTTTGGCCACATACAGGTGAATTTTCAAAAAGAATATTGTAGACATCAAGGGAAGGGCTACCGTGCAAAAAGAAATGCCGCACAAATGTTGCCATGGCATAACTGGGACCCAGCATGCTATTGGCATTGCAGTAAACAAGCAAGTTAATTGATTAATGTGCATTTTGACCATAAATACTCAAAGAGTCCAGATAGTTTCTTCAAATGTCTCTAGAAAAATGATAAAAAAAAGAAGAAGGAAGCCAAAGAGCAAGCAAGGTACCTGGGTTCAACTGAAGTGCCAGCTTGATCCTCCCAGAGAAGCACACTTTGTGAGAACCGATAGGAAGGAGCCTAAGAAGTTGGAACCTGTTTCTTATGAAATTGATGGCAAAACCTGTTTCTTATAAACTGATGTAGTGCTGCCATTCAACACTTAATTGGCAGCTAAGTTTTCTAGGCCCTACTTAAAAGAAAAAAAATCATCCTGGGTTGTAAGGGTGGTTTTCTTGATTGAACACGTGTGAGGTGCTTTTATCTCAGAAACAAATATTTGGAGTAGATTTTTATTCTATCTAGTTAATTGTGTCTGGCCTTTATTCTTCAGTGTTTTTCTTGCTGAAAGATACTACTGAGGTACTATGTAGGCCTAGACCCAAATATTAATGGAATATTTATATTAGCTTGAAGATCCTATAAATCACCATGGGAAAAGACTTCTATAATTGGAAGTTATTTCAGTTAAAAAAAATCTTCCAATGCATAAGTTTTTTCCAGCGCATAATTTTCGTGAAAACATTAAAATTATAAGTTGCATATCACAAATAATAAAAAATAGAATGATACAAAATTAGGTTTATTTTAAACTTTTATGAAGGTTGATAGAGAATTACACTTTAGTTTTCATCTTTGCTGTTTAGGAAATCCAGTTTCTAAACAAAGCTTTTTTCCCTAAAAGACACATTTTTTTTTTTTTGTTTCTTTTTTTTTGTTTTCTTGGGGGATATAGTAGAGATTCAAACCAGGAGCTTGTGCTCATGAGGCCAACACTACCACTGAGCTACAACTTCACCTTTTTTTTTTTTTTTTTTTGTACATTTTCTTTTCATTTGAGACAGTCTTTCTAAGTTGCCAGGCAGGCTTGAAGTTGTGATCCTTATATCTTGGGTTCCCAGTAACTGGCATATGACACCATGCCTGGCCACAGTTTTTCTATAGATTGATTATACCAAGCATATTTCTTTCAAACTAAATATGGTGGCCCAGGTTTGTAATCCCAGCACTCTGGGAGGCTGAGGCAGGAGGATTGCAAGATCAGCCTAGGCAAGTTAGTAATTTATGAAGACTGTCATAAAATAAAAAATAAAAAAGGCCAGGGATATAAGTCAGTGCAAAGGCCTGTGGTTTAATCCACAGAAGCAAACATAAAAATAAAATAATTTTTTTTTAGTTTTCATTAAATCTGTAACAATACAGAATAATAACAAGCCAATATTCCCTCTTGTTTCTTCTAAAGATGAATTTCTTTTTGTCTTTCAACTTATACAGAGAACTCTTAAAGTTTTGACTACATGGAGTGATTGAAATATGCAGTGAATATTTGTTCATTTATTTATTGTTGTTGTTGTTGTTGTTGTTGTTGTTGTTGTTTGAGACAGGGTCTTGTGATGTAGTCCTGACAGGCTTTGAACTTGCAGTGGGCCCCTCTGCTGATTTATCTGGCAAATGTTTAGAAAAATTTACATAGTAAAAGACACACTGCTATTAGTTCCCCTTACAGTGTTCCTCCTCACCTTGCACACATCCGCCTCGTTGTTCCTGGCACTTGGGAAGCAGTTCTGCAAGTCCTCTTTGATGCTTGTTTTTATGAGATGTGGTAAAAATATACACTGAATGCTGCTGGTTTATGGCCTCCGGCAGAAAGGCAGGTTCACAAAAGCAGCACAGAGTGTCCTCATCTACTGAATGCACTAGGCCTGACGTTGGGCAGCTGCTGGCTCCTCCCCACAGCCAAAGTGACTATGGTGGTAAATGACTTGAAATGATTCAGGTCATCACAGCAACCACAACAGCACAAATACAGATTCCCAGGAAAGAGACTTCCAGAAGTGTTTCAGAAGGTGGAAAGGATAATGGAATAAGGGTGTTAAATTGAGCGGAGTACTTTTGGGGGGGGATTAATGACTCGGTGTCTTTTACTATAACACATTAAAAATTTTAAATATTCCCTGCATTTTAAAAATCATACCTCAGGGGCTGGTGAGATGGCTCAGTGGTCTAAAGCACCTACTTGGAACAAGCTTGGCAAAACACAGGGACCGCGGTTCGATTCCCCAGCACCACATGCCAGCCAGCCCTGCCCCCTGGTGGGCTGAGCTGGCCACACACACACACACACACACACACACACACAAATAAATAAATGTAAAAAAAAAAAATCATACCTCAGCCTTTCTGGCGGTGATGACCTCCCCACCAGAACATGCCTCTCGCAAAAGATCTCCATCATCCCTCTCCGGAGGAGGAGAAGAGGAAGCATAAGAAGAAGCGCCTGGTACAGAGCCCCAGTTCCTACTTCATGGACGTGAAGTGCCCAGGATGCTATAAAATCATCACGGTCTTTAGCTGTGCACAGACGGTAGTTCTGTGTGTTGGCTGCTCCACTGTCCTGTGCCAGCCTGCAGGAGGGAGAGCAAGGCTCACAGAAGGATGTTCGTTCAGGAGGAAGCAGCACTAACAGTACCCTCAATCAAGATGAGTGGGAAGCCATCCCAATAAACACATTTTGGATATTAAAAAAAAATCATACCTCATGCACTGTTTAGGGCTGTCACCTTCCATTTAAAATATCAGTGAGGGAAGTATCATATCATAATAAAAGGTTCTGAATTGAAATATCAACTCAGTTGCACTTTGCTTGCTTTGTTTTGAAAGAGAGAAGGCGAGTAAAGCAAAAACAGATACTTCTGAGCTTCATAAAGAAAGCAGCTTTT